CTCCAGATGGGGTCTCACAAGAGCAGAGCAGAGGGGGAGAATCACCTCCCTCTCCCTGCTGGCCACCCCGTTTTTTAATGCAGCCCAGGACATAGTTGGCCTTCCGGGCTGCAAGCACACACTGCTGGCTCATGTCCAGCTTCTCATCCACCAGGCCCCGCACGTCGTTCTCCACAGGGCTGCTCTCAAGTTGTTCTTCTCCCAGTCTATACAAGTACCAAGGGCAACACCTTGCCCTTGGCCTTGTTGAACCTCATTAGGTTCTCATGGGCCCACTCCTCCAGCCTGTCCAGGTCCCTCTGGATGGCCTCCCTTCCCTCTAGTGTATCAACTGCACTATATCATGACATCAAATGCAACTGCACTGTATCATGACCTCCTTAGTTGTATCTCTGTTCCACTGTGGCATTCCCAAGTTATCGTATTTTCCAGAAGTTCAGGGAACCAGTGATGAGAGAGATTGCCTTTGGTTTTATTGTTTGTATTTTTTTTTTAATTTTAGCAGTAATTTGACTAAGCAATCTAAGTAAATAAAGCATTAATGAATGTATTGTATGTGAAGAAATTATGATGATCTGTAAAGAAAACAACTTAAGAAATGGACACATAGTTGACCTTAAAAGTTGACAAATGTATCCTGAGAGCTTTGTTTGAATATATTTCTGGTGCAAAGAGACATTGCTTCACGTTCAAAGTTTGAAGGTGGTGAACAGGGCCCAGAGCTGTTTCTACACCTTAGAAAGACAAGGATGTCTTTCAGGAACATCTTCATGTTTAGGTCTTGTCAATCTTGTTAATATAAACAGGCCATTTATAATTTTTGTGCTAATATTTGTAATGCTTAATGAATGATCAAAGGCAATTGTAGTTTGGAAGATACTGAAGGAATTGAAAGGACTTCTGTGCACATGCTTCATACATATATGGTTTATTTTTCAACTATTTCCCGTGTACTGTCATTATCATTAAAGTCCAAGTTAACTGACATTAGTGTTTTATGTCTGGAATTCCTGGCCAGCAGACAAAGGATAGTTTTTGGTGGAGTAAGAAGGTTTAAATAAATGGCTTTCAATCCTGAATCTCTTTCTTATGTGACATATCTGAACTGCTGCCATTCATCCAGTGGAGAGAAGGGGCACCAGTGAATTCTGCTGGAGCTGTATAAAGTCATTTATCTTTGCATTTGAACCGAGAGGCTTCCAGAGCCTCCTTCATAACATCCCTTAACTTTCAGCTTTGTTTATCTTTTAGGAATGAGGCTGTTGCATAAATTGTGTCTCGGAGATGCTGAGGACCTCTGTCTGTGTTTATGCATTATTCATTGAGATGAACTCATAGTCTCAAAATGTTAAAAAAATATTTTTTATGTTCCCTATTATTTAGAGACAGAGAAAAAAGCATTTACCTGAGCCTGCCTCCAAAAATGTAGTTGGTTATAGACAACTTCAAAGAAGGAACAAAAAATGTTTAGACTACAGTTTTAATGTCATAATAATTTTTTCTACATTTTTTTCCCCATATTACTATTACTTTCTATCAAGTGCGTGTTTAATTGGAAGGCACTATTATAAGCACATAATTTATCACTAAATTAAATTGCTAATATTAAATATCTCGTCTTCCATAACTAGTATTGCAGTACTGTTCTGGTCTTTTGTGAAGCTATTGCGTGACAAAGTGCCATAAGCTTATGATATTACATAGAACAGAAAGATGCATAGGAAAAGTTACAAAATTTGTAACTTTTTATCTGTGGAAGAAATTTGTCCACAGATACCTCATTAATTTCACAGAGTGTTGGAACTGTGTATCTGAAAGGGAGTTTGAACTTATAACAATAGGTAATAGTACAGTCTGAATTAGTGTGTAAATATGTTTGTTTTAAATCCTATACAAGATTTATATTTACTTTTAGAAAGAATGTATACATCTGTGCTACATATAGAACTGAACACAAATTCTGCATGTCTGTGTAGCTGTGTGTTAGCAGGATGAAGGCAGACATATTTACTGAATGCCTATGTGTACATGCCTTTGTGTGCATGTATGTACTCGTGCACTCGCATATCTATGGGTATTACATGAAACTTATCCAAGATTTAAAAACCTGTATTGAAACCTGCAAAGATATTGCTAGTATTTGATAATCTTTGTAATCTGGAGTCTCCTGATGGCAATTGATTTAATTTAAACATTACTTACATTTTTATAAATGTCTGAAGCGCTATTGTGATGATTACTATTAAGGAATAATTTTTGTCCATTTATCTTAGTTTCTACTACAGACAGTAGGCTGAGCTGCCTTTACTCAGGCAGTCACCTTAGCTGTATGTGTCTTACATGACTGCCATGCATAAAGGCAGGAAGTACAGTGGAGGAAAAGGCAGAACATAAGAAGAAACATTAGAGGTTTGTAGAAGAGAAAATTAACTCTATTTCTTCTCCAGAAAACAGAAGATGGAGAGTGAAACCCTCTCACCAGGCCAACATTTGGAAGTCTGTGTTTTTAGGAAGTTAGGGAGTTAATGAAAACCCAGAAAAAATTGCTTATGATAAACTTGAATAGTCCAAGTTGAGAGTCTTAGAAGAGTTTTTATTCTGTATTTCATCAGAGTTGTATTTGTGCATGAAATTGTATATTCAAGAAGGATTCATCCTTATAACCTTGGAGATTTTTTTCCCTTATAGTCATTATTGAAATCCTGCTGGTTTTTCCCCCTTATGAAAATATGCACTATAAAATGTATATAAAAATGGCCTTTTTCCACCATAAAAACTGGGGACAAGAGTATATAAAAAAAAACAGATTGAAAATTAAAATATTAGACTTTTGTTACAGGCTCTATTCCCCCTTCCCATTTCTTATTTAGTTTCATTTATTTCAGAGGAATCGTTCACAGAATAATATATTATCCCATCTGGAGATAGATATTCGGTAGATAATATCTATTAGAAATAAACTTTTAGAGATGTGAGTAATTTAATGTGTATTAATATTCTGTAGTGACCTAAACAAACCAGATTATTATTTGGATGGAGAATTCACAATGAGGACTGAAGGGACAAATGCTCAAAATCACTTGGGGGAATAGATGAATCAGGTCTAGTGATATGTCTGAAATAAATGTGTTTGCAGGATCAGTCCCACTTCTGAGCAATTTACTATTTTATTCAGCTGTTCCTGTGTATTTCCCTGGGATTAAACATGGGTAGCTTTAACCAAAGCAGAACTCATGTGAAAAACAATTGGGAAATAAAAAAAATGTCCTTAGTCTTCTAAAAATGTTGTGAGTTAATAGCAGAACATATTACCAGCTGTGTTGTATGGTAAATATGACTAGACTTTTTTTATGTATGAATGTGCAGCATTACAGTATAGCTGTTGCTTTATAAATATGAATATGTTAACATATTTTAAAGTTCACAATGATTGGTTGCATACAAGGCAGTGTTTATTTGGAACAGATAAAAAATTGTGTAAAATATATCCCATGTAACATTTTGTTTCCATAGAATTATGTTTCCTTTTCTAAAAAGGAAGGCAGCTAGAGTTCTATTTACTGTTTATGATTAAAGCAAATTGTTTGTGAATAGAGATTATATCAAACCTGTATTTTCGTGTTCATCCTTTGAACTGTGGTACACCTTTCCCTATGACATGAGAGTCCAGTCTGAAAAGTGCCATCTGCAGCAACCCACGTGTCTGCTGGTGATACAGTTCCAGCCCACCAGACTGCGTGGCAGCCTTCCATGAACGAGGTCACCAATTTGAGTCTCTCTCCTCAGTCATTCTTCTCCCTGAAATTACATCAGCTTAATGTCTTTGAAACCATGGCCCCTCTCTATATTTGTTTGACATTTCCCGAAAGATTAAAAAATTAGTAATAGGTGAATGGCAATGAGACCATTGCATAAGCCTTGTTTCTTTAGGAAACCTGGGAAGTCAACAAACCCCCCTAGACTACAGATGAAATGTCTTGGTGAGGTAATAATGTAACATTTATTTCAGATAGGCTGTTAAGAATGCTTTAATTAATGTTTCTGTTGGTTGTTTTCATGACCAAATCTTGTACACTCGGTCATATATGTTTTGTGTATTTCAAATATTATCAAGTTTACCTCATAGTGTATTTGAAAAACTTTTCTCGAAACTGTATTGAGTGGGTTCCAGAAATACAGATAATTTTAATGTATTCAATAGTGAAGTGACTGGGGAGGTGGTCTGTCTGCCAGCATCCTTTCCAAACTGTTATGTTGCCCTGATGATTTAGTTGCTGTTCCTGAAAGGACTACTTCTTGCAGTGATAAAACAGCATTGGCAATTTTGATTAGGAAATTCTGTGATATTCCCAGACGTGCTGCTTTGCAGAGATACAGTGCTAAATGTTATGGTAATTTAAAGTAAGTGCAACCCCCACTAAGTAACTGCAACTGCACAGAGTGTAAATCATTGAAGAATTTGTCCTATGATGTCTCAGCATGGAACAAGAGCTTGTGTGAAGGTATATATTTGAATTACTTTAGAACTGTTGAATTTAAGTAATGCCTACTAACGTTATTTAAGGTAAGACATGGTATTTTGTAATGTTTTGCATAAAGTGTTACGTATTCTACATAAAAAACACCAGATTCAGTATTCTAAATGAAGACAATGTGAATCTAGATTAAAAGTATTCCCTTTTCTTTTTATCTGTGTAAGTCTCAGACACTTTGGACCCTTGATGCCATGGGCGTCAGACCTGGAGATTCCCCAAGGCAGAAACTCTTAAAGGACTCCTTAGCAGCAAAAGAACTTCAGACCATGGAAAAACACCTAGCCGGTATGTGTGTGTCCTGGTTTCAGCTGAGACAGAGTTAACTTTCTTCATAGTAGCTACTAAAAGGCTGTGTTTTGGATTTGTGCTGAGAAGAAGGCTGATAACATACTGGTGTTTATAGTTGCTGCCAGGACTATTCAGCTTCTCTGCTTTGCCAGTGTCTGCAGGTACGGAGGGAGCGCAGCCCCAGTTACTAGCCTAGGACTCGACCTTAGGTTTAGGATTGAGACCCAAATTGGCCAATGGTCTATTCCATACCATGCACATCATGCCCGGTATATAGATGAAGCTCTGTCTGGAAGTGCTCTCTCTTGCTCTGGGTTGTCAACCTGTGGGTTGCCCCTCTCTCAGGGTTGTCTCAGTCTGTCGGACACTCAGGCTCTTATCTCCATTCTGGGATTGCAGTTTTGGGACTCTCCCGGTTCCGGGATCATTAGCAAGAAACAGACTGAGCCTTGGTCATCAGGTGGCGAGCAGTATTACTGTGTATCACTCATTTGTATGTTTGTATATATTACAATCATTATAATCATTATTATTTTCAATCTTATTGTAGTTTACTTATTGAATTGTTCTTATCTCAACATACGAGTCTCTTTTCCTTTTCCTCCCTTAGTTCTCTCCCCCATCTCCAGGAGGGGGGAAGATGAGCGAGTGGTTGTTGTGGCGTTTGGCTGACAGCCAGGGTCACAACTATGACAGTATGGTAGCAAGGGATCATGAAATGCCTAGCAGTACTCATACAGCTATCTCTTCCAATATTTTTGATGAAGGAAAAAATGATCTATCTGACGTGCTGATGAAAACATATAAAAACTTTAAACTTCCCTTTTTCTTCATTGAAGAGAAAGAGCATCATTATTGTTGTGTTTGTAGATGTAATCAACTTTGCTGTACTTACAGTAAATACCGTAATTAAACAGTAATTAAACTGCTAAATATACTGCAGTCTGAGAGGTTAATAACATGCCTTTGTTTTGTTTTCACATTTCACCAAAACTTATGCAATAAAGGAGGTACTGATGCTTCACCTGCAGTTAAGTAGTCTTCAGAAAAGGCTGCAGTGGACCTTTAGCTTAAAAATAGATTGCTTTGCAGGAAAAGCCCACCCTGTTTATGAGACTTCTGTCTAAGTGAAGTCTGTTAACCTGTGTGCAGTGGAACATCTGCAACATCTGTGATGGCTTAACCATTCTTAAAAGGTCAAACAAAAAAGCCCTTTTTTCAATGAAAATATGTTTCAGAGCTCTATAAAAATTAATGAAGGATATCTTAGGATATAGTTTTCAATTTGTTGTTCTTTGTAATCAGTATTTTCTTATCTTCAGCTTTAGTTACAAGGTATGACATAGGTCGGTAGCATGGTAATCCTATACTATGCGTGGTATTTTTCGTATGGTGAAAGCTGTACTTCAGGGCCAACTCTATGAAAAGGAATGCAGAACTGGAACATAAACACTGTGTATGTAAGGTGGAGGGAGAAATTAAATTTATCTGACCCTTCTCTCAAGTAATTCAGAGAGGGAGACAGAGAACTTACTACTTTCAGTATGATTTTCTGAGAGACTTTGGACATTTATCCTAGCTATAATATTGATGTGAAAGGCTTGGGAGCTGTATCCTCTTTAGAGAAAGGTACAGCTGTTGTACTTCTGTCTAGGAGCTGTTGCAGCTGAATTCAAGGCAGAAGACAGATCTATGACCTCAATGAGGGAAACACTTTAAAGTTTTTGCTTGGAATGGAACAAGAACTAAAAATCTTGGTATCTACAAAGGAAGAAATTTGAGTCAGTTTTTATTTCTGACAGCAGATACTGTCATTCAAATTTTTTTTGACACGTCCAAGTCACTGTAGCTGTTAGAGATGTAGCCTCTGCCCAGCTAGACTGAAATCCATGAGCTCTCTCTCCAGGTTGAAACTACCAGGAACATGTATCAGGAACCAGGAGACCAGCAGGCCGAGCTGTGTTCATCAGGTTTCTGTGGGATGGCAGGGACCTGAACACTGCAGGGGCCTCTGCCACTGAGGTAGCACTCACCTTCTCATGCTTTGCTGCAGTTGTCACTCAGGAGGGGTCTGGTGAAGGTCATCCTACTTTGATTTATGTTCTAACTGGTTGCACTTCCATTGTACAAGCTGTTCTTGTATGCAAGTATGCTCTGAAACATGCAGTTCCTTTAGATCTCCCTTGACAAAACTGACAGTAATAACTACCATATTCAATAGAATATGGAATTTTAAATACTTAATTGACCATAAGCTAACTGGGTACGTTCACTTAGTCTGAGATTCAGTCTGCTGTTGTGTGACCTACAAGGTCTTCTCTCTCACATCAATGCTGTTGTCATTTGGCTTTGGGCCCGTCACTTCAGTAACACTGTGACATGCGGTTCAGTGGTTCTACCATTCAGTAATTTTTGTCTGCCTGAGAAATTCACAAGAAAACAGCCCAATTATTAGACATTGCACTCTTGAATTCCTAATAATTCATGTCCTAACACCAGTGCTGCTTGAAACAATTATTCCCTTCACAGACAAGCATAACATAATTTCCATGAAGAACCAGCACAGAGGACCCCAGATAATAATGCTGTGTTTTTACTTAGCCTTATTTGTCTCTCACATTTGCAAAAGTTTAACCGTCTCTGATATCAGCAAGTCTCCTTGTTTCAGTTATCTTACCGAGTGCACTGGAGCCCATTAATTCTACCCAATACTAGGCAGTCATTTAGATACCTGAATTATGAATAGATACCTTATGAATTATGACTTGGATTACCTGTGTAATTATGAAATGTGGTCCCCTGTCTCAGATACACCTTCTTAAGGAGTCTGTCTTTCTCTTAAGGACTATGTGCTGGATAGAACTCATTCCTAACATAAGCTGCAATTTGGTGCCTGTGCCTAAATCAGGGACTAGCAGCAACTGCCTCAGTACCTTAAGATTTGAAAGCAGCATTTTTACAAAATCAGATGTTGAGCCAATCAGTTTTCTTCTCATTCTCTACTTGTGGCTCAGTAACACTTTTGTCTAAGATCCAGTCTCCTATGTTACTGTGGCTGCTTTATATCCCATGCAAGCAATGATTTTATTTTTTTTAGTTAATTCCAGTATCTTGCCAATTTAGGTTGTTACACTGATTCTGTGGTCATTGGATACTTCTGAGGTATATTTTCTCAAAACAAGAACTGTTAAATTAATAAACAGTTGTAAGCGCATTATGAATCATATCCTTATTTTGGTATTTCTGATATGAAAGTAAAATGCCTTTGTGTTGCTTTGTTGCCTTATTTTCCTCTAAATGACATTGACAAGGGTTTTAAAGAATCCTGAGTCATAATTCAATTCTGGTATTTACTATGGATCAGATAATACTGTAAAGCTGGAGATGTATGATTTTTTATTTTTTCTTTTATTTCTGGTTGAAAAGCTGATATTGAAGTGAAGGAAAAATGAGGATGTGTGCTAAATAAAACTGAATAATTGCACTATGAAAACATATTAATTGTATGTGGAGAAATTATTAGAATAATTGTTTTTTTCTGCAGATTTGATTACTATATGGAATTAAGGAAACATGAACCAGAATTAAATGTTTATTTCATTCTTATTACGTCATTCAGTACTCAGATATTTTCTTAGCATACTGAATCATCATGGGGAAATTAGAGATCTGTAGTTTTGCAAGAACATAGGCTAAGCTGAATCTTTAAGAAAACGTGTTCCTCATTTGACTTAAATCAGGTAGCCTCCATTGTCATTTATTGGCCTCTGAATTTTTGCCAGGCATCTTACATATTCCAAAGTGATGTGTATTGATTTTTTAAAAAGCATAATGGAAGAGTACTTCAAGACATAATTATGTCAAAATGGAGATAATTAATTTTAAGAGGTCAGCAAGGTAAAAATTAGAAATATTCTTTACTCTGTGCTAGAAACAATCACTATGTTTTGAAATTTGCTAACAGCAAAACATTGAAACTTTAAACACTTGAGAGACACCTTTATCTGAAGCTTTTACAACTATTTCAGTTTTAACAGCTTTTCTAACAACAGCATTTGAAATGTGTAGAATATCTTGTATGAGACTAGTAACATGAAATTAACATAGCTTATTTCCTGTTTTCATGGCAGTATTAAAAAATAAGTTAACGTCAAAGGCAGCACATGTTTACTTATTTTACATACAGCATTCCTTTTATACCTGCTGGTAAACACAAGTGAAAGAAAATCTTTTTTCCCAATATGCAGTTTGGAATCTGTTTCTTTTAGGACTTTTAGAACCTGAAATTATTGTTATCAAAACAAGAATTAAATGCTTTTTTATGTAAGTTCACTTAATTAATGTTTAAATCAGTAGAGCCTTGCTGATTTACAGCTTCTGGGACTATGACTTTGCAGTCTAATGGGAAACGACATTGCTTTTCTAAAGATAACCAATTGTCCCTGTCAAAACCAAGTTACAATTGAGTACATACCAGTGAGAGTGAAAATTCATAACAATTGTGTAAGATAAAATAAACTTGAGTAAACTGATCCTTCAGACTGACATTTTTATTTGCAAGGACTTTCAGTGTGTTAGCAGTGCTAACCTAAATTCCAGCTACCCTCACCTAGCTTGTATGTATCTGGTTTAATTAATTTGAAGCATTAATATGATTTAAATGAATTCAGGAGGCACTTTTCATCACTACTCCTTATCTGTTCTGTTTTTAAATAGGATCTTATTCCTTATGGCTATGTGAGGAGTAGGGCCTGGACCACCAAATGGTGGCCACCTTTTCTCCTTGGATTCTAGATGTTGGTGACCCTGTCACCTCCTGTGGCACTGATGGCAGGCCAGAGCACAAAATTCAGATTCAGACAGGATCACAGATTCAGATGTGCCAGAGTTCAAGGGTTATTCCCTGAGAGCTTTTGTTAGGCAATAGTCAGCAAGACCAGAAGCAAAAGTCTTGCCTTAAACCAGTTTTAGATTGCTCTTCACTGCAGCTGAGGATGGCAAGTTTAGCTCACTGCTCCATCTTGGTTTGATATTAATGAGAAACTGTGCAAAAGCACAGAGAGATAACTTTGAAGAAATGAGAGGGATTTGTATAGGTTGTATAGACGTTCAATGAAGTGGTAATATTTTACTTCTGTGGGATAGCTGTGTTTGCACTCAGTCAAATGTAAATAAACTTCAAGGAAATGCTTGTCAAACATTTGAACTGTTAATTCTGATGCTTTATATTTTAAGGGTGAATAGATTTTTTCTGCACAGCTTCAGGTTGTCACTTATATTGGAGAAAATCAATGAGTTTTAAACCAGAGAGAAACAGAAAGTGAGTTTGTTTCTTTCTTTTGCTTTATGTTTGTGTATGTGTGCACAGATATTGAGAAGGACCTGGCATTATGGGAAGAAGCAAGGCTCTCAAGAAGCCCTAGTATCCAACACCATAGTTTAGTTATCTCTGACCATCAAGGCAATCTTCAAGCTACACAGGGCCAAAATCCGCGACCACAGGTGCCAACTCAGATGGGGAAGAACATTCAGTTCCAAGGAAACAAATCACCACCGCTGCCCGCTAACAGCAGAACACAGGTCTCCAGTGTTGGAAACAGCAGGTCTCCAACGCCCGGTACACAAACCAACAGGCCACCAACTCCATCAACTCCAAGGAGCAGACCTGTGACCCCAAATAGCTTGCTGTCACGGCCTCTTACCCCTAGCAACCAAGGAAATAGGGAAGGCATCATTAGTATGCAAAGAAGCAGATCTTTGACATCTAAGAGCCAAATGGGGAGGACCCTCAGCGCTGCTTCGGGGCTCTCTGTGCAAATGAGTGGAGACATTGTTGGGACTGTCACTACTCAGAGAAGCAGTTTATCAGAAGTAAGATTTTCAATTTAATGTTTTTGCTATGTTTAAGAGCTACTATAACGTGAAGACTAGATTGTGTTTTATGTTAAAGTAACATCAGTGTACCTAATGTAACTTACTCCTCTGAAAAGAACTTGAAATATGAGAAAATTAGCAAGGAAATACCGCTCAGCTTTGAGAGGTACTGATTAGAGAATGTCATGATTATTACAGAAATCATACTGAAACACTCGTGCACCCCAAATTTTCTATGAACTCTGTAGGGTTTTGCTTGCATGACGCATAGCAGTTCTATTAGCCTTACAGTTTCTAAGAGGTGCATACTTCTGGAATATTAAACACAACTTTATCTTATCTTTATGATTACAGGGTATTCTTTTCCAGCTGCACTGGCAGTGCATAATATTTCTTTGGTATGCTTTTTCTTAGGTTTTTTTGGACACACTGAAGTGATTAGTTAGACATTGCTGAATGGAAAAATTTAGTGAAACACAAAACTGAACTGCGATGAGAAAATGTCCAACATCGTTGAATCACTGTCTAATACTATGTGCATGTTAACTAGGCTGATTTAGAGCATAAAAAATTCCTGTCCCATATTAATGGCTTTTACAAGATTAGTCTTTGTTTAAAACAAAGCAAAACAAAAAGTTAAAGTACCTTGTACATTTTGAGTGGGATTCTCCTCTGATAACCTTAGCTGCCTTAAAGATAACTTTAGTGTACAGGCAGTGGAAATAAAAGCACCTGTGATAGAATAGTCCTGCTGTCTATCTCAGATATATGCCTTACTAAGGTGAGTTTTTTTTCTCAGGAAATGCCAGTCCTTCTGTACTGACTTGAGAAGGACCGGTATGTCTAGATTGCTAATTTTTTAATGGTGGAATAAGTTGTTTCGCACCATTTATTACCAGTCTCTGTAATCAATTTGTCAAAGCCTGGAGAGCTTTTTTCCAAGACTGAAAAAAATATAATACTTTTAGATAATTTTTTCTGAGAAGTATCATTTGTTTTAAAAATCTGTTGGGTATGACACTTGACACAATGTATTATAAGTCTAATGACTTCTTAAAAATATTTAAAATGGTTTTTATAATAATATTGCTTGAGATGCTTGTAGGAAAATTAGAGATTTGATAGGTAGTATAATCTTGCAATTAGGTATATGGCCTCTTATTATGAAAGAAAGGAAATGAGGCACAGATAATGCTAAAAATAAAGAATTTGGGAAGGAAATCTTACTTAAATTTGGTGGTGGAAAAAAATCCTCATTTTGGTGTTTGAATGGCAGTGCACTAATCCCATCACTCAAGTTACTTCTTCACTTAAAATTGGAAATCCAACTTAAAGACTTGAGGACTGAAAGTGACTATAGTTCTATTGAAAGTATCTTTACTAATAGTTAATGTATTTTCAAACCAGAAGTTTTCCATGGAAAAAATATGTAATTGTAACAAATTTCTTTCCTGACAAACTAAAACTCTTTGTCTCTTGTTTTGAGGAGTGGATATGTTTGTGTGTTGGAATTTTCTCACATACCAGAAAGTGAGAATAGAAATTAATTTTTAACTAAAAATGTTCAGAAGAGATGAGGGGTTTCATTGTTTCTCACTAAACACTCATCTTTTTCTTTCTTTCTTTTTAAGCAGTCCTGTTCTTAGCTGATACATAGTCATGTGATGCCAAGTAGAATTATTGTATAGACTCCTGAAAGTGCCATGTAATGAGCACTGCATCTTCACCAAGGGACATCCAGTCTGTACTTCGTTTCTGATCTTTCCTGTAACAAGGCAGGCAGTTAAAAGTGCTTTCTTCCACAGCCGCTCTATAATTATAGTAATAATAACCATGAATCCCATTTAATTTGCTGTGATTTGTTACTTCTGTTTGCCAAATCCCAGGCTTTGCTGATAGCTCTTACAATAAATGTCCTGTTGTACTTTTAATATATGTGTATATATGTCTCTATAACTTTAAGAAATGAGCAATATTATTACTCTGTTTTACAGTTAAAATAGCACGTCCAATTTCATCCAGCAAGCCCACTGTAAAGCTGGTGTTAAATCTCAGCATTTCTGTGCAGGATCTTATCCTCTGTTACAATCTCTTCTAGAAGTGACAAATTCTTTTCTTTCTCTTTGCTCACTGGGTACAATAGTACATTGGCTGCTAGTGACCCAGCTCAAACCCTATTTATCCTTTCCTGACATGCACAAGTGACCTTTGACTTCATGGAAACTTGTCTTGGGACTACCTCTGCTTCCAAGGGGAAAACTGATAATACGACATGTTCATGCTGAAGACCTTCCTCTGCCAAGCTGTAAAGGCCCTTGGATGTCAGAAAGTAACTGACGGAGGTCCAGCCAACCTGCTGCTCCCAGTCCCATCTTTGGAGTGTTATACTAGAAGCTTTGAGAGATATTTTAGGCTATCTTTGCTCACTGAAATTCCTGGTCACTTAGAGAAGTGGGTTTAGAAAGAACATACCCAGGAATTATCTCTGTCCAGTGACATTTTTTGCCATGTTAGAGGTAGAGGTGTCCCCCTATTTGTGGCGAGGTGATTTCCTTCTCTTGTGTCACAGTTTCTCTCTGATCATGAAGATAAAATTTTAAGAAGTCAAAGGTGGCCTTGGGTAGGAGCAGAACAACAAAGTTGTGTCTTTCTTTGTACTTTTACAGATCACAAACTTATAAAACTTGGGGCAGATACTGTAAATTATTTTGCAACTTTCATTGTAGGTTTTGTATCCTCTTCCTGTATAAAAACAGTAAAATAAAAGAAGAAAAATTGCCTTTATTCTTCTTAGACTTATGGTATGAACTGGGAATTTCCACTAGATGCGAATAGGCTGTGGTTATATTGCCAATCCTATACAAGATACTATGATAAAATTTTGCAAATAGTTCTGCTTCCTTACTTGTAGGTGGTGTTAATGGAATTAACCAGTACAAATTTGATACATATTTGATGAGCATAAGTAATTTGAAAAGGATGCAGTTACTGGGTACCAGGAGCATGTTTTAGCATAAGGAGCTTGAAGTGACGAATTCAGAATCCACGTGGGTTTACACCGCGTGTGCTGTTTACTTATGAGGAATTTCAGCATATTTTTCAATGTCTTATGTATGCTTCCTAGTTTGTAATGTGTTTCAGAGTAACATAATAAGCATAAAATACAAAAATATTACTGATAAATACAATTCAGAGTTCTTAAATTTTAGTAACGTTCATACTGTAGCTCAGGATTGTTTTAACTTGTTATAGCACAAATCTTAAATAATTTGGCAAGTACTTAATATATAACCTGTTAAGAATGTTTTGGGTTTTTTTAATGCTCACGACTTGTAATGGTCTGAGATTGGGTGGACGAGTTTCTGCCTCTTGGCACACATAATATTACGAAGTTCTAGCATGTGTGTTTTATTATCAGCTCTGTTCAAGGCTGAATTGACTTATAGCAAAGAAGTGCTACCTAGAGAAATAGTTTTATTATCTCTATAAAACTAATAAATCAGGGTTCCAAGTCCTTTTATGCATTTAGCTTATCTTTTGGTGTTTTGTATAAATTGACAAAGGAATGTTGAATCCTGCTTATCTCTTTTAGGATGGATTCCATTAAAGTGACACAATTCTTTGATGGTTATCAATAGCTGTTGAGATGAAAATGCTACTGACTCCCTTGTTTGCCATTTTATTTTCTGAACACTTGGCATATTACACTTTATTCATCCAGATAAAGTGATATTCAGTAATCTTTATTGGTCCATAATTGTTAAGAGCGGGAAATTTCAGCTTATTTGAATATAGCATTGATTAACACAAGTTTTCCTCCTACTCACTGGAGTATAGAGCACAACTTGATGTGATGAGGACTCTCTTTTTGGTGAAATACTTCCATTCTGTTCTGCTCTCTGGCTCAGTTCTTTACTTTGTGTTTTTGGAAGATTAAAAAGTATACTGATCAGTGTGAGAGCCACTTGCTCCTACCTCAAGAGTCACATTCCATGAACCAAAAGAGTTCAGTGCTGTAGTCAGCAACCTTCTTGAACACTGAGCACATTTGAGATGGCAATACATGCATAAGGCCTGGAGTTCCTGCGTGAGCTTAGTGTGGGGCCATTGCAGCAGTCTTTGTGGATTTTTGAAGATTACTAACAGAATTAATAGTTTACTCACAGTGAGTTACATCTCGATTGCACAGCCTTAGTAAAACAAGCCTGGTTTATGTTTTTTAAACCAAATAGCCTGACAATATAAATCATGCTGTAGCGCCGTGCAATACAATTTAAGTTTGAACATGTAGATTCTCGGTTCCAGCTGGTGTAAAAGGAGACAGGGCTATTTCCCCCCTTTTCTTTATGGTGGTTGTAAGAATCTGGCCAGTAATTTTATGATATCTTAACAATGTTTAAGTTCTCTTTTAGAGACTAGACTTGCATGTTGAGTTGTTTTTGAAAATAAAACTGTGCATTCTGGTCTCATCTCTCACCTTGAATGTTGCAAAGGAACATGTCAGATTGTTTTATATGTCTGTGTGCATACGCACTTATATACATGTGTGTGTATGTGTGTATGTAAAATATTTTTATATACATACATATATACATGATATAAAAAAGGAGGCAATTGTAAAACATTTTTAAAAGCATGTATTCAGTTGCACATGGACTTTTAACTGTGTAAAACAGTTTTTATTTTGTGCTTAGTGTTTTATGCTATTTTGGAGATAAAAGTTTCCGTAGCATTTTTCCTTCCTAGACTTTCTCCTCCAATAGAACTGTAGAGTTCTAAATCACGTTTCAAGTCCTTGTTCTTACTAGATTGGAAACAGTGAATATTCAGACAAATCAAAGCCTTACTTAAGCAAATTGTGCATGACATGTCTAGGGATAGAGATGGTATTTAAGATTTTGTTTTCTGTTGCTCCATTTCTAAGATGAGTATGTATATAACCGGTGCCTATAGCAGCTAGGTAGCTAAAGAGACCTTTTTTTTCAGAATAGCAAAATAAGTAAGAATTCGATAAAAAAAAAATCTAGGCAGACTGCATATCTTCTACATGCTGGTTTTATTTCACAATTTTTTTTTTTAATTAAAAGCTTTCTCCTTTCTAGTTAATTGAGGCTAGAGCGTTTGCTGCAGTCTGCATTTATATAGAACCATTCTGTGTCATTTTATCTAAAATAGATCTGTTTGTCTCAGGACGAATTCTTACAACAGCTTCAGCTTGCTCATCAACCTTGGATATTACTGAGTGACACAGAAAGTGAAGGAGTGGAGGCTGACCAAGATAAATGTAAGTACATTTGTTCGGACCAGACAATATGTCAAAAACCCTCAAACTTTTACCTTCTCTTTTTCATATCATCAAACCCTCTGAAGATGTCATGCCTGCTCACAGGAGCTTTTCTTATAAGTATCAATTACTCATTTGCTTGAGGACTGAACTTTACAGGATTGATTTACAGAAGCTCTTCTACAGTCATGAACATTGACAAAATGATCACAGACCACAGTATACTTAGCTAAGTGAAACAATTTGTACTGATGTGTTAAAGTAGCTGTTCCAGAGAAGTAACATGAAGTTGAAATAAATGGTCTCTTTAGTAAATTTGTATTAACTGAAAAAAAAACCCACTAAAAAAACAGTACCTCTGAAGGTAGAGCCTTCCTCCTCAGCCCTGACTCCATTGTTTCTGTTTTCCCTGCATTCTTTTGAATTCCTCTGTATGAAAAAAAGTTCTTAATCACACAAGTGATCCTTAATATCCTACACTCTTTGAAGCAGTAGTCTAATCATGAAAGCAAAGGTCAGCAGGATCATAACCTAGATGACAGAACAAGTAACAACACGTAACATGCTATAAATTGCAATCCATTCAAACTGTGGCAAGTTTTATCTGCCTGCAAGGTACCTATAAATAATCTTGCTGAAAATATTAAATGTTTTGCATTTTCTTTTTTAATTCACAGTAGCTTTGTGATCTGCAAGGGTGAAAATGCAAACTATTTCCTAGGTGACCTACCTTTAGGTGAAAAGAACAGATGATAATTATCATGTTTATAAAAGTTAATGCATTCTACTAAAACTGCTTTAAACATGCAGAGTTAAAATCAGGAAAAGCCAGTTTCTTCACAGAATGGAACAGTTGTGTTAGGGATTAATGCCTAATAATAATAATGCCAGATAAACAGAACATATTTTAAAATTATGCCAGCTAAAAAAAATTAAGTTTCCTATTTATATACCAGTTTCAAAATTCCATACATAGCCCAGGGTTTGACTACGAAATTTCAGTTTATATAGTAAGATACTGAAGAGCATGTGCCAGTTTTTTATCACTAGTACAGAGTTAAAATGAAGTTTTGTGTGTGTCCAGCTGATTTTAGTCCAAAGCTGGTAAGTCCTATTTGATTTGCACCTGAACCTTTCACTTATCTTTGGGCTGAAGCTTACCTTCCATAGCCAAAGGGAAAGCCTGGTACCTGCCTTTTCTGTGCATGTGAATTTTCCTCTGTATTTTCTGCAATGAATTTACAATCCCACTAACATTGGTAGGACTGACTGCTCACACATAGACTGTTGCTAATGATGTGACCAGGCAGACTGATGCTTCAGGACACGCCAGATGTACATCAGGGTTCTTTTATAGCTGCCACACCTGAATTGCATGGGTGTGGGGACTTCAGAGCATCTAAGACCCAGTGCTATAAGATTTTAAGAATCCTGGTAGATCATGGTCACTGCCCACTGTGGCAGAGTGGTAAGTTATAGATAAAAGTTTTGGTCCTACCACCAAATCAGTAGAGATGATAGTTGTCTAACTAATAACAATTGTTTTTACTGGATCTGATGGCACTGAGAACAGAAGGGAAAGAAAGTAGCTGTGAGCTTTAGTTCCTGTATCAAAGAGGGATTTGGAGCTGCGGTATACTCTTTTGAGACTATCTGTAAGCCTGTGAAGTTTACTGCTCCACCCTTTATAGTAGGTCAGTCTTTCTGCTAACATAACTAAAGTAGTAGAACAAAAATGTTTGATCAAAGCAATACTTTATGTATCTGAAATCTCATAATGATAGATGTTATTAAAAATAACAATAATAATGTTATCATCCCCATCTGAACTTATATGCTAGTGTCATTGGCAAGCAGAAATTGCAGAACTGTCACTGCTGACAAAGAGAAGCTGCCAATTCCCAGTTGTAAAGTGGAGAGTTAGTGAGGGGCTTGGCATACTTGCTGATGCCAGGGCTTGTAGGCAGAGCAGCTGGCAAGATTACACAACATTTTTCACTCTGAAGTTAATAAATCTGTGTGGATGTTGTGCATGTGATTTAGTGTTGAGGGGGCCCAGGAGTTCATAATTTATGAGTCTGAGCAGAAGAGCTGCAAAATTAATCTTTACAATAGCAACACCTGTTCTTTGACTCAGCTTTTAATAAATTAGATGTGGATAATATTTATCACATTCTTTGACTAGTTTGAGATAATAGCAGCCAGGTGTAAAGCTAAGTTTTGGTAGTGGGAAAACAATGCAAAAAAAAGAAGCTATGTGAGTCACCTTGAGTTCTTTCAAATTAATACCTTCTGTTAGTATTCTACAAGAAGAAGAATTAAAAAATTTGGGGCTAACAGTTTCTAATGTAGGCAGAGGTAGGACTTTAAAGAGGTTATTTTCAAAGCCAATGATAGCTGAAGAGAATTGGGTCACTTTGGCATCTCAACATCGCCCAACAAACATCATTTGCATAACAGATGTGGTATCGCACGTCTTGTCTTATGGAAATGAAACCTAGGTTCTCAGTTCTTGTAAATCACAGGAAAAGACCTCAAGGATCATCAAGTCCAACCATCAACCCACACCACCTAACTCACTAAACTATCTCCCTAAGCACCACATCTACACTTTCTTGGACACCTCCAGGGATGGTGATTCCACCACTTCCTGGGCAGCCTGTTCCAATGCCTGATCACTCTTTCAGTGAAGACATTTTTTCTAATATCCAGCCTAAACCTCCCCTGGTGCAACTTGAGGCTGTTTCCTCTTGTCCCATCACTTGTTCCTTTAGAGAAGAGGCCAGCGCCCACCTCATATGACTGGTTACTAAGAACATAATAATTGTGGTTGGAAACTTTTCCCTGTGAATAGTAAATTCATGATAAATATGGGCATTTTTGTCCCAAAAGTGGATCGCGGTTGAATGTCTGAGAGCCTTTAATTCCAGATCCATGAATCTTCTGGAGAAACTTATTGGTATCTTTCTTTCATTTAATATTTAAGAGTAGTAATATAAACTGGAGTAAAAAGTCCTATCCCCCCACCCCATGTAACCTTTCTAAGGAGTGTCATAAAGCTTTTGTCTGCTTGGGGTATGAGTAATTTTCCAAATTTCTCCAGTGCGCACTTTCATATGTTAAAGAAGGTCCATTGTCTCTCATTCTCCCTACCAGTGGCTTAGCTAGGTGTTTAGTTTGAGATAGTTCTATGTCTACTTCAGAAATGGGGTGCCAGTAAGGATTGTGTTCCTATAAATGGGACTAATATTTGCTTTCATCTTGCAAAAGTTCACATTGAAATAAATATTTGGGAGGATGAGAGAATTTTCCATTGCAGTGAGGAAAAACATTCTCAAAATTTGTTTCAGTGCAGAAAGCTGTTTTCAGTACAGCTTCCAAACCTAAGGAAATATTTTTCTGCAACTTGCATTATTATGGTAAACTTGGATTCCCAAAGACATTTAATGTAATAAAAAATGACACTGTAATTTAAAAAATGGCTTAGAGAATTATCAGGGCACACATTAGGTAAATTAAAAGCTGGGTCAGTGAGGAATCAAAACCTAGAGTTTCTAATGGGAAGATGTAGATGAATGGGGCTCATTATGGTCTGATATGTTTGGATAATTGGTGGGAAGGACAAGTTGAAGTTATTAAATGATATGAATCCCCTGGCATAATGGCCACATTCCAGTAAAATGCACTTTATTATAACCAGATGAAATATATTTGAACCAAGTGAAATATATCTGGCACCAGAGAAACATGTCTGTCTCTGCTGCAGAATAACGAGGCTTTGTCATGGAAAGCAGTGACCTAACGGATTTAGGATGATCGTAGAAGATCATCTCAGTGTGAGCTCTCAGCATAATGCTATCACAAAGAAGAGTAGACCATTTCTTGAATGCCTAAAAACTTATGTAGCAATGTAATTATTCCACATCATATCAGTAAAAAACTGTGGTTTTGGTGTCTTGACATTAAGAAAGATTAGAATTACTTGAGAGATTTCAGAAGATTGTTAAAAAAGACCCAGGTTTTGGGAAACCCTGTTAGGAGTTTGCCTCACCTAAAGGCATTCAACTAGGAACCTTGGAGATGACTTGGTATCTGTAGGTATAAATACTTAAAAATAAAAAATATTCAATTAATTAAACTGTGATGAAGGAAATTAAATGCTATGTCCTAGCAACCAGGAGCCTTAAGCATTGTAAACAAAAGTTAAGAGAGGCAATGAATTTGGAGCCAAACCATTCTATGATTCTCTGATTAACACAAGGTAACAGGGCTTTCTAAATGACAGATGACAGATAATCCAGCAGGAGATTCTGTGGGCTCTATACAGGTATATGGGAGGTCAAACTAGATGACCACAGATGGATTTTGTGTGTTGGTGTCTATGAACATGCTTACTCATTCTCATAAAGAGCAGTCTGTATCTGCAATTTCAGTTGCTTTCCTGGACACTACATCTTAGGCACTGATAAAGGTGCACATGATCATGGTTCTACATTTATGCTACCTGTTTTCTTACAAACCCTTGAAAATATGCATAACTGTATGTACACGTAAACACATTTTTGTGATTTTTTTTTCTAAGGTTTATTCTAGCGATTTTAAACTGCAAAGCTCTCCCCTAGTTGTTTTTATTATCATAATTTAGTCCTTGGAATGTAAAAATCATTTACTTGAGAAGGCAGGGTGCCTCTGGATAAAGTAATGGCTGTCTTTAGTGATCCAAAAATATACCCCTGCGAAATACAAGACATGGCAGTTTGGATTAATATTGACAATAACTAAGATATTAATAAAATACTGTTAAACTTTACTGTGCTCTAGATAGTCATAGGAGTGTGTAGATTTCAAAGCACAAAATACGTTCATGATAATTCTATCTATGTGAATGTCTGGTATTAAATGGCAGTGTATATAATAGTGATATAAATATTTTGCTTTTAAAAGATTTTATTTTTTTAATTCAAAAAAACATTTGCAAGTGGAGTTCTAAGATTTCAGGA